CAGAGGTAACTTCACCACTGAGCTAAAAGGGTGTCTGGGGGCCATACTCTCGGGGTTTCTCCAGTCTCCTTTAGGCCAGTAAATCTGGTCTTTTTGTGGGTTAGAATTATGCTCTACATCCTTCACTGGCTCTGTCCAGAACCCTCTGTTGTGTAAGGGATCAACTTTTTAAGAAATTTTTTATTATGGTATAAAATATATATAACATAACATTTGCCAATTCAATTTATTTTGCATTTTTTTCAGTAATTTCTACATGCATAATTCAGTGACATTGATTACTTTCATCACGTTGTACAACAGTCACCGCTATCCTTTTCCAAATTATTCACCATCCTTAACAGAAACTCACTTTCCCCCTAAACAATGACTCCCCCTCTCTCTTTTCCCTCTCTCCCATGGAAACCACTAATAAACTTTTTTTATTTGTTCTGGATAGTTAAGTGAGATCATATATTTGTCCTTTTGTGAGTGACTTTTTTCGCTCAGCATAATATTTTCAAGGTACATCTATGTTGTAGTATGTATCAGGGCTTCATTTCCCTTTATGGCTGAGGAATATTCCATTGTGTGTATGTACTCCATTTTGTTTATCCGTTCATGATGGACATTTAGGCTGTTCCTACCTTTTAGCTATTATGAAAAGTATACAAGTTTCTGTTTGTGTTCCTGTCTTCACTTCTTCTGGGTGTGTATCTAGGACTGGGATTCGGGGTCATATGGTAGTTCTGTGTTCACCTTTTTGAGGATCTTCCAGTCTGTTCTCCATTTTACATTCCCACCAGCAGTGGATGAGGGTTCCAATTTCTCCACATCCTCACCAATAGTTATTTTCTGTTTTTTAATCATAGCCATTTTAGTGGAGGTGAGGTGGTATCTCAGTGTGGTTTTGATTTGCATCTCCCCAATGACTAATGAGAGACCTGGTGGTGCAGTGGTTAAGAGCTGCTAACCAAAAGGTAGGCAGTTCAAATCCACCAGCCACTCCTTGGAAACCCTATCGGGCAGCTCTGCTCTGTCCTGTGGGGTCGCTATAAGTCAGAATCAACTAGATGGCAATAAGTTTGGATTGTTTTTTATCAATGACTAATAAAGGAGCTTGGATGGTGCAAGCAGTTTGTGATCAGCTGCTAGCCTAAATGTTGGCTGTTCTAACCCACCCAGCAGCTCCATGGAAGAAAGGCCTGCCAACTGATTCCATAAAGATTTGCAGCCACAAAAACCTTATGGAACAGTTCTACTCTGTACACATAATGTTGCCATAGTCAGGGACCGACTCAACAGCAGCTGACAACAACAGCAGCGATGATTAATGAGGTCCCTGGGTGGCACGGAAGATTTGTGCTTGACTGTTAACCTGAAGGTTGGTGGTTCAAACCCACCCAGTCGCACCGTGGAAGAAAGGCCTGGTGATCTGCTTCCATAAAGATTATAGCCAAAACCCTATGGAGCAGATCTACTGTGTATACATAGGGTTGCTGTGAGTTGGAATCAACTCGATGGCAACGGGTTTGGGGTTTTTTTTTGTTAATCACTAACAACACTGAGCATCTTTTCATGTGCTTGGCCATTTGAATATCCTCTTTGGTAAAATCTGTATTCAAGTCCTTTGCCCATTTTTTGATTTGGTTATTTATCTTTTTGTTGTAAAGTTGTAGGAGTTCTTTATATAGTCTGGATATTAAACCCTTGTCAGATATATGGTTCCTCAAAATTTTCTTCTAATCTGTAGGTTATTGCTTCCGTTTGTTGATGATGATGTATTAGCTTTTTTTTTTTTTTTTTTAAATAATGTTTTATTGTGTTTTTGGTGAAGTTTTACACAGCAGTTTAGGTTCAACAATTTCTATACAAGTTGTTCAGTGACATTGGTTACATTCTTCATGATGTGTGAACATTCTCATTATTCCCATTCTGGTTGTTCCGATTATAATGATGTGTTAGCTTTTAATGATACCCTGCGATTCCCAGCTATTCAGATAAAGCAGTCAACAAACGTATTCTTCCACCAGTCTTCCTCCTTGCCTCGTGTGTGTGCACGCACCATTCCTCCATAGTTAGAGCACATGACATTTACACTTTGCCCTGCTTCCCTTATTTCTGTCTTTATTTTGGTCTGTCAGCGGACACATCTGCTGCATAGTCACCACCAGTCCTTTGGTCAAGGCCATCCCACCCACCCCTCTTGGCTAGAGTCTGTCCTTTAGAACGTAATGGCTTGTGTGGACAGTGTTGCCCTGAAGTCTTGCTTGTTCGTAACAGTCTGTAGCCTTTAAACATGGAGGACAATTTCAAGGCTGAATATTAAATTTTTGACTTGACTTTCTTTCCTTGAGTGTTGTCTTAGTCATCTAGAAATACCACAAGTGAGTGGCTTTAACAAACAAGTTTAGTCTTTCACAGTGTAAGAGGCTATAAGTCCGAATTCAGGGTGCCAGCTCCAGGGGAATGCTTTCTGTTTCTGTCGGCTCTGAGAGAAGGTCCTTGTCATCAATCTTCCCCTGGTCTAGGAGCTTCTCTGCATAGGAACCCTGAGTCCAAAGGATGCACTCTGCTCCTGGTGCTGCTTTCTTGATGGTATGAGGTCCCCATGTCTCTCTGCTTGCTTCTCTCCTTTATGTGTCAAAAGAGATTGACTCAAGACACTATCCAATCTTGTAGATTGAGTCCTGCCTGATTAACATGACTACCATTAATCCCATCTCATCAACATCATAGAGATGTGATCCTATCAGATGACAAAATGGTGGACAGTCACACAATACTGGGAATCATGGCATAGCCAAGTTAACATATTTTTTGGGGACACAGTTCAATCCATGAAAGTGTCTTTTAGGTGTTGCTCCACTGTCTGAGGATGGGATGTTGGTGTGGAGAAGTCTGGCACTGTCTAATTTTCTCTCACTCATAAGGGAGTTGCTCCTGCTGCCTGTCCTGGGTCTCCTAGGCCCTGCCTTCTTGTTGACCATTGTGGGTCAATTGCCCTGATACTCAGGTTGCTCTTTGAATGTGTTGATTGGTATCTTGTATTATTTCAAGACGGTTTTCCTGAAGTATGTTTTAAAGTGTTTGGCCCTCTTGTTTTGGTTTTCTCCTTCTGGGGCTCCAGCTGGTTTAGGATTGATTTTCTTTACCTATCTTCTTGTCTGTTGGTTTCTCTTTTTCCTGTTTGCTGTGTCTCTTGCTACGTGTTTTGTGTCTCTTCCTTCTTTGGTTCTGTCATTAGGCCATACATCTGTACAACAGTTCTTCCTTCCCTCTGTCCTGTGCTCTGCCAGTCCTTCTGTCCCAGGCTCCTTGGTCCTCTTGCCTGAGGGCTGAGTCCTGGCCCTGTCATCTTCCGCAGGTCTGTGGTAGCTGAAAGGCAGGCTTCACTTCTTGTTGTCTGTAGTGAAACTGCATGCCCTTATTTTTGTTGTTCGTATTGGAGTGAGTTGTATTCCCCTGGACTGTGAGTAGATCGTTCCTGGGGGGTAGGTGAAGCTCCAGGGAAGCTTCCAGGTTTTGAAGCTCTCCTTTTACAATGTCAAATCACTGTCTCTTCAAAAAGTGGCCCCTCTCTGGCCACATTCTTTCCGTCTCTCCAAGGCTGGCCCGGTGCAGGAGGCTCCCTCACCAGTCCTGGCTTCTGTTTGTCAGTCGCAGGTGACAGGATGTCCAAACTGTTCTTCGAAGGGCTGACCACTTGTAGAAGAGGTGCTGTTGAGATCTGCCCCTGGCTCCTGGGGCTCCTTCTACACCACCCCTGCCTCTGGCCCTCCAGCTACTCCCGGCACCTACTCCCAGGAGGACGGGAGACCCCTGAACCCCATGCTACCAGCAGTAGCTCTCTCTGTGACCTGGCACTGGCCGCTGCCTGCACGTGACTTGGCGGCATTTACAAACTAGTAGGAGCTGGCACACTGTTCCTCTTTCCTAGTTTTGGTAAAAATATAGTTTGTGTTTTTATTTTATCTATTTATTTTTTTTCTATTCTCCGTGTTATTCTGTGTGATTCCTGGACGTGGGGAGGTTCAAATTAAGAGACAGCCATGTTCCTGCTGGAACCGGAAGTCAGATGTTAGAAACAAGCCGCGACTTGGCTGTCTGTGGTCGGGGGGCCTGGTTCCTTGGTGAGCAGCTAGCCGGAGCTGATGCACCCCATTTTTGCTTAGCCCCCACCCCAAAAATCTGAAAATCCTGACCTGGCAAGGACTACCTTGGCTTGGGGAGGCTGAGGTGGACCCACCATGCTAGCACAGTCCTGAGATCCCTTGTGGTGGGAGTCCTCAGGTCCTGATGGGGAGTGTGGGGAGTTGGGGGCTTGTGACCCAGGTTCTAAGAGAGAGTGTGAAGGAGTTAGAGGCTTGTCTAATCCCCCGAGTGCCGACGGCCCCATTACCACATCCCAAGGTCGTCTGCGTCTCTCCCTATACTCAGAGCAACATGCCTAAAGTACAGTCTAACAGGAGTGCTGTCTTGTTCAAGGGTGTTGAGTAATAGTGCCCACACCCGGAGTCAGGCTGCAGCACTTCTCTGAGACGGTGTGAGGGTGGTGTTTGCTGAGACAGTGGCGCCAGGAGTCTGTGTCCTGCCAGTCAGCGGCTCCAGGCCCTCTTGGAGGAAGCAGAGTCAGGGTCCCGCTGGTGGCTCCAGGCCTTCCTGGAGGAAGCACAGAGTCAGGGTCCTGCTGGCGGCTCCAGGCCCTCCTGGAGGAAGCACAGAGTCAGGGTCCTGCTGGCGGCTCCAGGCCCTCCTGGAGGAAGCACAAGGAGTCTGGGTCCCACTGGAGGCTCCAGGCCCTCCTGGAGGAAGCACAGAGTCAGGGTCCCGTTGAAGGCTCCAGGCCCTCCTGGAGGAAGCACAGAGTCAGGGTGGACAGTCTGTCACATGTGGACCTGTCGCCCACTGCGTCTCTGGGTCTTGGTCTCAGGGCCTCCAACCACTGCAGTAGGTGGGCACATGGAGTTTCCTGCCCTGGGCATTGGTGTGGGTGGGGGTTTGGTGCCTCACTGGATCTCCTTTGTCTGCAGGAATAAGGAAAGACCCAACAAACTCCTTTGTGCCCAGGACTGTCATGATTGGGGGAAAGGTGAGTGATTTCCTGTGGCCCTCCTTTCTGAGATTGGCCCAAACCACCACCCACGCTTTGGCGGGTGGCCTGTAAGCTTTTTGGTGGGTCAGCAGAACTTGGAACAGCGGCCCAGGGGTCAGGATGCTGAGGGCAGCTGTGCCTGGTAGGCAGCATCAGTGCAGAGACCACCTGCCCCTGGGGCCTGGGGCCTGGGGGGCTGAGGGGATATCCCACCTCCACTGACTTGGAGGTTTGACGGGACCATTCCCTGACTCTAACAGCCAAGCTGGTCCCCCAGGGCTTGCCAGACCCTCCACCACAGGTGGGCACAGTGCTGTGTGCATGCTGCCTCTGTCCATGTCATAGGCAAGCCCCTTTGGAGCACTGAGCAGCTGTGTCCCAGGTGGACGCAGGCGCAGTGTGGCTGTTCTGTCCATCAGTGTGGGTGACTTGGAGCCCAGCTTGCTTTTAGTTCCATTTTATTTAATGCGGCACACTCTTGGAATCCTAGAGCTGATACGTAATCCCAGCATACTGCCATAAAGGACAGGCAGGCCAGTCCTTGGCGTTCAGTCCTTCCACCACTACCCCTGCACCCTGGTCCTCATCCAGCAACACAGAAGATCCGCGAGTGCAGCTGGTTTCTGAAGGCTGGTCTGCCTCAGTGGCCACAGAGGGTCGGACAGACCAGGTTCTACCAGGCGCTCCAGCCCTCAGCCAAGGCACGTGGCAGTCTGGCTTCAGTGGACTGCTAGCATGCCCTGTGCTCCGGTTCACTGTGTATAAGACACCAGGTGCAGGAGTTGTGGACCCGTCCCCAGCCCAACAGCAGCTCCTGCTTTGTACCTCCCCCCAGAGTCATGAGGCAAATCCTAGATGCCACATCCTTTCACCTGTCAGTGTTTCCGTACCTCTAAAGGGTACGGACTTTATAAAAAGTTCAAAAAACTCTTTATGAGAATTTCTAACTCAGAGAAAAGTAGACAAAATTGCAGAAATGTATGAAGCTACCCCCGATTCTGCAGTCTTACATCGTGCCATGCTTGCATCATCTCCCCCGGTGTAGCCACCCTGTTTCAGGGTACGTCACAGCATCCTGACACTTTACCCCAAACACTGCATCGCACATCCTCACGGAAGGATGCTGTCCTCCAAAACCACACTAGATGTGGACTCTGTAAACAGAACCACCCAGTGCTGTCGTCACCCATGTCCCTGACACTCCAGTCTGTGTCCACGGCCACACTCGTGTTAAAGTCACAGGTAGTTGTAGCTGTTTGAATAAGGGGCCAACTAAGGGCCTCACGTGGAGGCTGGCAGATGTCTCATAAGTCTTGTAGTCTACAGCTTCCCCTCCACGTCTCCCTCTTGCTTTTCTTGGCATTTGAATGCTAGGAAGCTAGGTGGTCTGTCCCCACGCGCTGCGGTTGCCCTCTGAGGTGTCATGCGCCCAGGGTTCCCCGGATTTCCCGTGAGTTGGCAGTTCTAGAGACCCTTGTTTCTTTCTTCTCCTAATTTCTGGAAACCGCACTGCAGTCAGAAGTCACACTTGAGGAAGTACCTGGCAGAGGCTAAGGTGTCACAGTTGGCCTGAGGTACTTCAGGTCCCGTGAAGGACGAGTGTGGGGCCTCACCCCGAGTGGCCTAGGGCAGGGGCTGTCTGACAAATCATGTGCAAAACACATGAGAGCACTGCCTCAGTGTCCCTGGAGGCCACAGCCTTCCTGCCCCACCACGTGGCCCTCACAGCAGCTGGGCCTTCTCCCAGGGACCCGTGAGAACGATGCTGACCCTGGCACCTTCTTTTATGCTGACCTCCTCTTCCAGGCAGCTCCTGGTTACCACATGGCCAAAATGATTATCAAGTTGGTCACATCCATCAGCAATGTCATCAACCACGACCCCGTTGTAGGTGACAGGCTCAAAGTGATCTTCCTAGAGAACTACCGTGTGTCCTTGGCAGAGAAAGGTATGCACAAGGCCTTCACAGACGGGCCTGCCCTGCCTGGGGACGAGTTGGGGGGGCGGGGGGGGGGTCCAATCAGGACGACAGGCCTCCAGTGGAGCACCAAGCTGGGTGAGGGTGCTCCGTCCTGCCGAGAGCACCTGTGTGTGCCACAGGTAGAATGGTTCTCAGACCAGGCGCCCTCCCCTCTGCACTTCCTCACTGCCGCACTTGGTTTGCTGCCCTCTGCCCCGCCTCCACTCCTGGGCTCCAGCCCCCTTGCTGGCAGGCCATGCAGCTGGCTAGTGGAAGTGTGCAGCCCCCTCTCTGCCTCTCCTGCTGCTGGCCTGGCTGCCCGTAGGCACACTGTTCTTTCACGATGGCCTGTGCTCGTCACATTGAGGCAGGTCCTTAGGGCCCAGGAGATGTCTTGCAGCCCCGAGGAGGTGCCTGGGAACACACTCGTTCCAGATGTCCTGCTAAACCGGTGGCTCCTGGGGTCCTGGCAGCAGAGCGGTTTGCCCAACCAGTGGTGGGCTCGAGCTTGGGCCGCCTGTGCTGGCCTCCTGCGGTGGTGCCCAGGCCTGTGTGCACCAGGCAGAGTGATGCCGCCAGTGCTGCTTCCGGGGCGGCTCCATGTCAGGGATGTGCGGGTCCATCCAGGTCTTGTGTCGTGGCCATGCTGCTCTGCTGGGCAGCCTTGGGCGTGGTGGTCCTTGAGGTGCACTCAGGCCTTGCTGGGCAGGGGCTGGCCAGGAACTTTGGTGCTGTTGATTATTCCTTCGCTGAACTTCACATACAGTGTCTCACACGGCCCTCTCAACTGCTTGGGATGCACCCCCCTCATCTTAGAGCTGGCTGGGCCTCCTTCTGGCTTCCTGCTGGGCTCTGCAGCCTGGAGGGCAGGGAACACCAGCGTCTTATCCTGCTCCTGGATCAGGCTATGTCCCCTTTCAATAAGGGCTGGCTCCAAGCTCTAGCCTCCAGGCTGGGGACACAGAAGGGGAGCTGTGCAGTGAGCTGAGGGTGCTGTGTCTTGGCAGGCGTGGCCAGCGTGCCCCTGGGCAGGCGTGGCCAGTCCTGGGACCGGGCCAGAGCTGCCTTTCTGTGCCAGCAAGGGCTTCAGGGGTCCACAGGGAGGACCCCATGCCTGGCTGTTGCACGTGGGTCATAGTGTCAGTGGCTGGTGGCTGATGGGGAACACTGGACACCCCCTTCTTAGTCGCCAGAACATCTGGTCTGCAGAGTAACGCTCACACATAGTAAGGTGAACGCTTTCTAGTCCTTTGGTTCTGTAGGAGCCTCACGGCTGATGAAGACATAAGTCACGTCAGGATGAAAAGGAATGATAACACCAACAGAACAGGACCCAGGGGCCCCACCAGACTTTGGTTTGGCCACGGTCCCTGGAAGGTTCTAGAATAAAGGGCCTTTGCCATCTGGGAGGCTTCTCCATAAGAGGCTTTATTTTGGATCCCTTTTCCTCAGCTGGAAACCCTGGTGGCGTAGTGGTTAAGGCTGCTAACCAAAAGGTTGACAGTTCGAATCCACCAGGCACTCCTTAGAAATCCTGTGGGGCAGTTCTACTCTGTCCTTTCTGGTTGCTCTGAGTCAGAATCAACTTGACAGCAATGGGTTTGGTTTTGGTTTTTTTCTTCAGCTGCCCTGGATCAAGAAAGGAGCCTGTAAAGGCAAGATGGGGGAGGGGGCTGACCTCTTGGTTCCCAACCCTGGAGTGCGGTGGGGTGGTGCCTGGAAGGGCTCTGGCTGTCTCCTGGGGTGACCTGGTGGCACCTCCTGCACCATCAGTCTCGGGGTGGTTGCCGTCTGTTTCGGGAGGCGAAGAGGGACCTTTGCTGTAGCTTATCGAGCAGGGCAGCACCCCAGGATGCCCGAGGAGGTGGGTGCGGGTCTGACCACCATCCTGTGCTTGCTCCAGTGATCCCGTCTGCAGACCTGTCACAGCAGATCTCCACTGCGGGCACTGAGGCCTCAGGCACGGGCAATATGAAGTTCATGCTCAATGGGGCCCTCACCATCGGGACCATGGATGGCGCCAACGTGGAGATGGCCGAGGAGGCGGGGGAGGAGAACCTCTTCATCTTCGGCATGCGGGTGGAGGAGGTGGAAGCGCTGGACCGGAGTGGGTATGTGCCCCGTGCCCCGCCTGGGCCTGTGGGGGTGGGGGAGTGGGATGGGGTCTTGGGAAGATGCCTTTCTGGGTGGGTAGTGCGGGGGTGGCCTGGCACGCGGGGATGGCCGGCTTCAGACGTGGCCGCTCCTGTGCTGCTCTGACAGCTGACTACGCTGTGCTCAGACTGGGTTTCTCAAACTGGCCTGTCAGTGAACACGCTGAAGCGCACATAGTGCCCCTCGTCCCTCTGGTCACTGGAGGGTGGCTGGGACCGTGGTGCGGGGCAGGTGGCTCCCAGGCTCCCTTCGTTGGCCACAGGGGGATGACACCCCATCTCTGGAGTCAAAGTTAGGGACCTTCTCTGGCTGGAGGGTACTCGGCCGACTTGGGAGATTTGGGCTTGCTTGCTGCTGAGGTTCCCTGGGCTTTTTAATGACCTTTCTGTTTTGGAGTAAGTTAGGTTTCTGGAGAGGTTGCAGAGGTAGTACAGGTCCCGGTGCTGCCCCTAATCTCCCGTTTGTGCCTGGCATCACCTGCTTCTCTGTTGGGACCAAGACGCCAACATCGTTAACCACACTCCAGACCCCCAGGTCCCCATCCCCAGCAATGTCATCTTCTGGGCCAGGACCCAGTCCGGACTGCACTGCATGTGCCTGTCACGTCTCCCCAGCCTCGTCAGCCTGTGACAGCTCCTCATGCTCCCTGTGCTTCATGACCTTGATCTTGAGGAGCCCGGCCTGGCCTAATCCTGAGTGAGAGTTGAAAAGACAAGCAAAGGCAGTTCTGTCTAATTGCCTACACACTGGAGAGAGTTGGTGAGGCCTCGGACACCAGCCAGGCGAAACGCAAATGTGAATGTTGCCCAGAGCCTCACAGCTCTGTCCTGTGCCCCGTTCCCATGCCACCCCACCCCCACTCAGTATGCTTTCTGCTTCTGTCTGGGCCCCAGGCACACTGTCCATGTCCCTTCAGTCTCCTGAGCTGATGGCGTGGGCCTGCTTGTCTCGTTTGCCTGTGTTCCCTCTGCATCTTCACAGGCCCAGCTGAGGGGCTGTTCTCAAACCCTGCCCCACACAGCAGGCGGCGGGGGGTGCGGTGCAGTGGTGGGGGCTGCAGGGGTGGGGATGCAGGTGCAGGGACCCAGACGTGGGGGCTGTGGGTATGGCATGTGAGCCTGAAAGCTCTGCCTGCATTTTCACAGGACACCAGTCATGAGCAGCCCTCTGCAGCAGAGGGACCACGTGGGTCACACATGGGATCGTACATTTTCTAGGACAGTTTTGTGAAAAGCAGGAACAGCCGGTGATGTGAATTTTGCGCTCATAGCACATTACAGTTCCAGCAGCCCTCTCTCAAGTGCTCAGAGGCCACCTGTTGCCAGTGGCTGCCGCCCCGGCACCGCAGGCCCTGAGCCTGGGGGAGCATCTGGGGGCTCCCGCTCAGGGATGCCCATGCTGACTTGTGACCTGGTCCCCACAGGTACAACGCCAGAGAGTACTATGACCGCCTCCCCGAGCTGAGGCAGGCGGTGGATCAGATCGGCAGTGGGTTCTTCTCTCCCAGGGAGCCTGACTGCTTCAGGGATGTTGTCAACATGCTGATGAACCATGACAGGTGGGAGCCAGCCCCTTTCGGGCCTGACACAGGCCTCGTCGCTGTACTCTGCCATGTGGCCCTCCCCAGGGTCTGAGCACCACTGTGTTTGGAGGGACTGCAAGACTCTGTTGTCCCCAGAATGCCGTGATTGGGCAAAGCCTCAGCCAACCAGCATCCAGGGCCACAGCTCAGCCAGGGCCACCGCTTAGCCAATGCAGAGCTGACAGTGGCTGACCTGGGGAGCGGGTGTGATGGGCAAAGGAGGTGGCACGATAGTACTGGCTGGGTGCTGCCCAGGTCTCGGGCTGGGAGCATCTCAGTGACCATGAGCACTTGTGCCCAAGAGGGAAGGCAGGCAGGAAGGTTTTCGGGAAAACTTTGGGAGGCGAGTGGGGTGGGGAGGGTGGTGAGAGGTGCCCAGTGGTAAAACAGAACTAACTTGTGACAGTGACATTATAATGCAGTTAGTTCTTACTACGCTGTAGTTAACGTGAAGGTTTCTCTCCCATTAAACCTTCAAGTTGGTTCCGACTCAGCAGCAACTCTATAGGACAGACTAGCACCGTTCCATAGTTTCCAAAGAGCGGCTGGTGGCCTGGAACTGCCGACCTTTTGGTTAGCAGCCGAGCTCTTACCCGCTGCGCCAGCAGGCCGGTAGTGCTGTTTTGCTGTCTAATGACAGCTCTTTACTCCCCTCCGAGTCAGAAGTTGAATTGGGCTCACGCTGAGAAGTAACCTGTCTTCTACTCTGTTTCTTTTGGTTTAGTTTTTGACCACTGTTTTGTCTATTGCTTTTCTTAAAACTTATTTTACTGTGGTCAGATACATGTAGCAACAGGTTTGCTATTTTAATTATTTTAGAGCATCCCATTCAGTGACATTAATCTTACTCACTAGTTTGTGCCACCATCACCATCGTCTATTGCTTTTTGATGACTGTGTTATCAGCTGGTTTCAGCTGACCAGATCATAACTATACACAGCACACACACACATACATCCACGGGCGGCACTGAACACACTCTGACGCACGCACATACATGTATATCTGGGTCAGAGGCTTGAACCTGGCTGAGGTCTGTGATGAAGGAAGAACTTAAAACGATTTTATGAATTGTATTTCTGACTCCGCAGTAAACAAAGTGTGTTTCCATCTTCTTAAAGCCTGCTTTTAGTCCAGAATACCAGAAAATGAAATCTTTCCTGTGTTTTTAGTGCTCGGCCCAGGTAGACTTAAGGGTCGGTACGTGGCTGGAAATGCTGTTACTCAGGGCCTCTGCCTGCCTCATAAAGTTACCTTCCCAAGACATAAATGTTGCTTACAGAAAAGCTCCTGTGGCCAGATCGGCCTGGCTCAGGCTGGTAGGACACGTCCTGGCAGATTTCAGTGCGCCTACCTCCTGCTTCCACCTGCAGCCCGGGCGCCCCTGGGGTTCAGGGCAGGGCCAGCCTGCTGGCTGCTCTCACTTCGTGTGGGCTTTGCTAGCTGCCTCCCCGTACAGTCCCCACCCTGGTGCATGCTGCTGGGCACAGCCTTCTTTCCTGTTGCAGGTTCAAGGTGTTTGCAGACTATGAGGCCTATATGGAGTGTCAGGCGAAGGTGGATCAGCTGTACCGGGTAACATCCCTGGGCCCCATGGGGGGTGGCCTGGGGGACAGTTGCTGGGAGGACCTGTGTCCTGCAGGCCTTGGGCTCTCTTGGGGAAGTCCCAGTTCAGCCTGTGGCCCCAGAGCAGTCGTCAGGGGCTCAGCAAGCTCTGAGCATATCATGGATGTAGACGTGGTCACCTCCCTGTGATGCTGTGCCTGCAGTGTCCGCGCGTCCTGGTCCTACTTGTCGGGCTGTAGTCTACCCTGGCCCATCTCAGCAGCCCTGCAGCTGGTGTGCTGTGATTTGGAGGGGCCAGCATTGGCCCCAGGCACTGCCCCTCGCCCAGCACCATGCAGTTTCCTTGGCCCCAGAGTAGCCACCAGCCCAGAGCATCAGTGGCAGTGAGACGGCGTTTGCCCACCGTGGGGTCTGAGGAACGGCCTCCACTCCTAAGCCACGGCCCTATCAGGGCAACAGACCATGGGGGTGTCGGGGGCTCAAGGCGTGCCGGTGTTGCCAGGGCTGCAGAGACTGGGGACGCCTGGGGAGGCTGGCCCAGAGGGTGCAGTGCAGTGGGCAGGGTCCGTGGATAGGGCATTAGCAGAATCTGCTGGGCCAGTGAGTAGTGACGCTTTGCGTGGCACGGTCATACAGTTCTGTAAATGCAGATTCCATTACAAGCCCTTGGTCCTGTAACACCAAAGCTTAACTGGCGTCGTCTTACTCCCTCCACAGGACCCTAAGGAGTGGACTAAGAAGGTCATCTGGAACATCGCCTGCTCAGGCAAGTTCTCCAGTGACAGGACCATCACAGAGTATGCCCGGGACATCTGGGGTGCAGAGCCCTTGGACCTGAAGATCCCCCTGCCCAACGTTCCCCAGGACTAGGTTCCCATGTCCCTGTCCACTCCTGGGGTCTCCCCACTCACAGCTCCTATCCTTTCCCAGACCCTGTCCACTCGGGCCCCGTCCACTCACGAGCTCCGTGCACTCCTGGGCCCCCATCCACTCCTGGGCTCTCATGCAGCGTTCCCAGCACTTGGCCAGCAGCCAGTGGTCCTTGCTTTTCTCACTGCTGTTTCCTGGGGGGGGCCGTGGGTTCTCAGGGGTAGGGCAAGGAGGGAGAAGTACGTGGGGCATATGAAGTTCTCACGGGTTCTCAGCAAAAGGGAGTGTGCAGAGGGTGGCCGTGGCTTCTCCAGAAACCCCGCAAGCACCTTGCTGAGCTTGAATGCCTTTGATTTTAAGCCTCTGGACCCTGGGTCTGTGGCAGGTGGCTATGCTGAGCGCCCAGCTCTGCCACCTCTGTCCAGGGCTCTGCACCTGAGTGAGGGGTGGGAGTGGGGGAAGTCGATAATGGAAAATTTCAAACACATACAGCATACAGAACTAGAAACCGTAGTATAAGCACACCCCATCCTCACCACAGAGGCAGCTGCCGGGGGGAGCATTTGGACAACCCTCCTCCACTGTTGTGGAGTACACCCCTGACCCCACATGGGCACATCCTTTAAGACTTTTTGTTTCCAAAGTATTTTCACCTTTTTGCAGTAAGGCTAGTGGCTAAATAGGAAGTGTATCGTCCAGTTTCATGTCAAGGGACATTAAAAGATGTAAACTTTAATGTTTAAAACTAAAAGGTAGTTACTTAGCAGAAAAAATCAATTTGGCCTGGTGCACAGGGCTGAGGTGGCCCGTGGTGGGAGGGTTCCGCCCAGCAGCCACCGCCTCTCTCCCCATGGCCTGGAGCCCTGGCTTGGCCAGTGGGACTTGGGTGTCACAGTGGAGGGAGGAGGGAGGTCTGGACTGGGCGAGTGTCCTCCCTGACCCCACCTGCTCTTGGCTCCCGTCCAGGGCTCTTGCCGTCTGCAGTGGGGAGAGTCCGGCGGTCAGCGCTGGGCTGCATGCGCTCGTGTGCCCCAGCTGTGGGGACTGCAGTCCTGGGGAGGGGGGCCGAGACAGATGAGGGACACCACAGATGACCGGGTGAACATTAGGGGCGTGTCTGTCAGGCCTCCAGCGCAGGTTGTAATTCAGGTTTAGCCCAGTTCTACTTTTACAGAGAAGTTAACAAAGTTAACATCACAAAGAAATGAAACTAGCTGAGGCCTCTTCTTGTTTTAGTTGCTATAAATTGTACTTCTTTAAGTTTCCTGAACAAAGGAGGCAGGGCTGTGTGTTTCTTACCTGGCTGGAGGCTGGTCCGTGCCCATCCCCTAGCCAAGACCACCTGTCCTTGCTGGTTGGGTGCCCAGCAGGTCTCTGCCTCTGCCACGTGAGCCCACCCCCTACCAGTGCACACAACCTGGCTTGGAGAAGGGACTGAGTGGGCCCATGAGGGGAGCCTTGGCCAGCTCTGCCAGGACAGTGGCCAGGTGCGCCCTCCTGGGGCCACCTGACATGGTGTGATGGCTCTGCGGGAGGGGTCTCCTGACTGCTTGTGGGTACTGTGGTTCAGAGCCCCTGGGTGTTTTCAGGGGAGGGATCAAGTTCTGGCTGTGGCTGTGCCTGACAGCACCTAGTTGGCCCGTGCGCCCCACACGCCACTGGACTGGTGTGTGTGGCTGTTACCGCAGCACTCACTGTCACTGCCCCCACCTCACCCCACCCCAAGTGAGCAACATTAAATCTCTGCCCGTGGCTGGCCGTCGTGTGTCTGCGTTTTATTCCTGGCACGCTGTCCTGCGTCTCACTGCAACAGGGAGCAGGGACAGGTGCTGGCTGGAGGCTACAGTGACCCCCAAGAACTGCAGAGCCACGAACATGGGGAGTCGGGATGAGGGCGGCCCTCCTGCAGGACCCACGTGGAGCTCTCAGTGCCCGGCAGGGGAGCCTGAGGCCTCGAGGTGTGTCTTTGGGCCCCAGTTCCTTTCTTTGTAGGGAGGGGATTGGACTGAATCACGGCCTGTCGTTCAGGGTAAGAACAGAAAATTAAGTCTCATCTTGCCAGCCGCATGTGGGACTGAGCCAGGTACTCCAGCACTGGCGTTTCTGCAGTTATGTCAACAGCTTAGTGAACGCCATCAGTTGGGGATCAAAAGCAAGCATTCCGATTCCTGGTGTGAATTGTGTTGGTCCCCCTTCTGCCCCTGTAGAGCTGCAGGTCGCCTAAAGAGCAGGGATCTGCACCTGGTAGTGTTATCCAGAGGACCTATGCAGGGGGTGGACGTGGGGCCCCTCTGATTGGTCAGAGACTGGCATTCTGCAGGTCTCAATGGGGGCACAGCCCACCCTGGACCTAGGGGGCTGGCACATCCCTGAAGCTGGCAGCAGGCAGATAAGGAGGCTGGGGACTCCACTTCCCATTCCTGCGCCTTGGGCCTGTGGGGCTGGGAGCCATATCCTATGGCTGTGAAGCTCCACAAGACGGACGTCCCACATCTTCTGATGCGTTCTGTTCATGCACTGGTCCACTGCCCCATGGATTGACTTCACAACCCACCAAAGGGGCCTAACCCAACAATGAGGGTTAGTTGCTTGGACCAAGGTAGAAGTTAAGCGGCCCAGACCTGGGGGTTTGTGTAGAGTCTTGCAGCAGCCTGGTGAGCCGACAGGTGGCCACAGCTTCTGCTGCCTCTGTGCCGCCTCTGGGGGCTGCCCCCTCAGCTTCAGCCTGCCTGTCCCACAGCTGTAAAAAACACTGCCGACGGCTTCTATTTTCTCTATATCCTGCCTTATCCCCACAAAAAGTGTCTGAGGCAGCTCACATAGGCAAAAAGTTAAACAGATAAAGACTTCAGCAAAGGGAAAGAGGGCCAGGATGAAGATGGAGCCGGGGTCGTGTGAGGACACAGAGTTCTCTGAGGTGGTGGGGATGGATGGAGTACTCACATGTGTGGGACGCGGAGGTAACAAGCTAGCAGAGCACTGTTGTGCTGGCTCCAAGCCTTAGAGCCCACTGTCTCTCCTGAAGGGCTGCACAGTCCACAGGTGGATGCAGTCACATATTATTGACTCTCCAGGCCTCCAGTGCAGAGAGCGGTGCCAGTGCTGATGGGATGCCAGTGAGAGGCTATGTCTCCGAGGCACTTCTGCGGTACAACGCACAGCTGAGCTGGTGACAGGCAGCGGACAGGAGACTGCATGTATCTTAGCTGTCGGGAGTGGAAGACAAATGACAAAAGCCACCTCCAGGGTGGCTTCTTTAGGAAGGTAGGCAGCTGAGACCTGTCATCTGTAGTGCCCAGGTGCTTCAGCCTTTGGGTCCAACAGCCAGTCCTAGCTGCTACACTGGACACAACCCTTCAAGAAACAAAAGCTCAGTGGTCTAGCTGCTGTGCCTGGCGTGCAGTGCAGGCCAAGGCCTGCCCCGGTCAGCTTCTGGTCTTGTGATGTTCCAGACGGCCTGGGGAGGAGAGCTGGCCAGTCCGGGGATCTGAGAAGAGGGAAGACGTGACCACACACACACACCCACACACACCCACACACACCCACACACCCACACACACCCACACCCACACACACACACCACACACACCCCCACCCCGACACACACCACACACACCCCCACACACCCCCACACACCACCCGGATAGGAGTCAGCTGTAGACAGACTAGAAAAGCAGGCATTTATACAACCCACCCCACCCTGGGCTTTGGGAGGCATTTTGAGATGTTCCCTAATGTTTGGTGTGTAAAACTGGCCTGATGCCTGGGATGGAGGTCTCTGAGCGGAGTCAGGGCAGGCCGTGTGCTTCAGAGCTGTCCCAGTGCTGGACGAAAGCAGCAGCAGTGCATGCAGTGTGGGTTTTACAAAAAGCCAAACGAGACACCACCAGTGAGGAAATAAATGTATTTCATGAAATCTGAACTGGGTAAACAGTTCCTCCCACTCCAGCGGCACATTCTTTCTTCAGTGGCCAGGGACTCGTCATATGCATGTCTGTAGGTAGACTGCGCTTAACCATACGGCCGACGTTCAGGTGTGAGGGGTGGTTTTTCTAAGTTCAAAGGTAAAAAGCGCACCTCACTTAGGCCTGGATTAGAAAAGTGCCACCTGTCAGCTGGGAAGAGCCATAGCCCACCCTCAGACAGCATCCTTCTCTGTGGGACCTTGGGGTCTTGTGGAGGAGTGGGGACGAGAACAAGCCCCTCTCTCAATGCCTCCACGAGCTGCCACTGCCAATGCCGCCTCCCCCCAGGGCACTGAGGGGCAGGAGACATCGCTAGCTCGTCTCGCTTCACAGAGAAGAAGAAAGACCACCACCACAAGTTTATTCTTAAATAAATGCTCAGTCTAAGCCCAGGTTAGACGGACAGCTGGGAGGAATGCAGAAGTACAGGTTACCACCCTGACCCTCAGTCTGGTGGGTGAGCAGGGCCATGGGGCGGAGGGGTGGGGTGACAGCCAAGGAGGCAAGCAGGGTGTGCTGAGCAGGAGAGGGTGGGCGCTGACCACTCAGAGTCCATCTGCGTGGGTGGGAAGGGGCGGGAAAGCTCAGGCAGGGACCCGGAGACCCCACACCCAGTCCTGAGACCCTGCGCCCCCGTCCAGGTTCCATGCCTGCTCAGGATCGTGGGATCGGCCACACGGATCAGTGGGGGATCAGTGGGGGATCAGTGGCGGCAGCTGCCCGCTCCTGTCACTAATCCTTCCCAACAATGGCTCAAGTTGAGTGGCAGCAAGCGGGAGGGGCCGCGTGCCCGCCCCAGTGCATCATCCATGGAGGCCCACACCTCCGGTGCCAGCTTGGGCTTCCTCGGGTGTCCAGATGCCAGGTTCCTGAGCAATGCTGATGCTGGCATGCCAGGGCCCAGGGTGCCAGCTGGCCAGGTAGTGGAGGCAGAGGTCTCCATGTTTCCTTTATGAAGCCAATCCTCAGTGGTGATGTTCCTGCTTCGATCTCCCCAGGAACTCCCTAGAGCAGAGCAAGGCAGTTCCGTAAGCCACACTGCAGGATCCCAAACAAGAGGTGCCACCATCTCCATCCTCAAACCGCCCATCTGAGCAGGCGGAAGCACATAGAGGCCACACACAAGGGAGCCAGAGGACCAGGCATCAGAAAAGCGCTCAGTGTGAACCGGACGGGACTGGCAGCACATGACACACGGGGGAAAGGCCAGGTCGGGGACGGGACTGGCAGCGTCTGTCTCACAGGGGAAAGGCCAGGTCGGGGACGGGACTGGCAGCGTCTGTCTCACAGGGGAAAGGCCAGGTCGGGGACGGGACTGGCAGCGTCTGTCTCACAGGGGAAAGGCCAGGTCGGGGACGGGACTGGCAGCGTCTGTCACACGGGGGAAAGGCCAGGTCGGGGACGGGACTGGCAGCGTCTGTCTCACAGGGGAAAGGCCAGGTTGGGGACAGGACTGGCAGCATCTGTCACACGGGGGAAAGGCCAGGTCGGGGATGGGACTGGCAGCGTCTGTCATGGGGGAAAGGCCTGGTCGATAGGCTGTTTTTGTTTCAGATCTATACTCTGATCTAAATGCTCTGTGATGCATCTTCTTACAACGGGGAAACAGCCACAATGCAATGCTCTTTCATTTCACTGTCCCCTCAGGAAGCACTAGGGCCTCCACGTCCACACGGTGAGATGGGCTTTGCCCCCAGAAACTTCCAGAGGTGGCCAGAGAGCAGCGGGTTGGAAGTGGAGTTGTGCAAGGATGTCCTCAGGAGGGGACCAAAGCATGCGGATCTGATGGTGATGGCGGCCCTGAGCATGGCAGCAGCCACTGTTTTCACAGGGCTCACGTGCCCCTCACTCCTGGGGGTGGGGGCTCTCACTACCCGCCCCCCACCTCACTTCAAGAGGTCCAGGACCTTGCAGAAGCCACACCTCAGTGGGGGGGCCTTATGGCCAGGTAGTGCCCTGGTGGAAGTGTGGGGAGCGGCCCCCACACAAAGGCTCCTCGGGCGTAGCTGGGCTTGGCAAAGGGAAGGGCAGGCGTCTGGTCCATTCCAAACTCCACTCCCTGTCCCCACAGACAAGGCCTCGCCTTCACACGTGGGCTCTGCACCTGGGCCCACGATGGGCCAGTGGCTCTCCAGGCTGCAGTCCATGCCCTGGATTCCAGCCAGTACACAGCAGCCTGCAGTGTGCTCAGGGACGGAACCTCAGAGATATGGGAAGGGACCCGAGGCCTGAGCCGGGGCGTAGCTGGGGTACCCAGTGTGTGCATACGTGCATGTGTGCATGTGTGTGCATCTGCACGTGTGCGTGTGCACAAGTGCGCCTGTGTGGAGGTTTGCGTCTCTGGGCTCAGGTCCACACAGGCATGTGTGCACGTGTATATGTGTGTGTGTCTGTGTGCCTGGACAGCCGGGAGACCACCAGACACACCTACCATGGTGTGATGGCCTAGGGGGTGGGGGAAGCACTTTCAAAGCCCTCTGTAGGAAAGTGGGAGGCTCTCACATTACTGTGACTCGGCCCACTGGGGCTCCTCTCAACAGTTTGGCTGCAGCTCCTTGCCCCACCTCCCAGGCCGCAGGCCCCCACTGCCAGGCCTCAGTGAGTCCCTCAGACTGCCTGGGTTGATGAAGCCTGGGCAAGCAGAGAGCACCTCACCTCAGTATCCGTGGAAGCTCGGGGCTCTTATAGATGTACTTGTGCCTGTAGCCAAGGTCCGAATGAAAGGGGATGAACTGAACTTTGAAATCCCGGAAGCTTCGAGATGGTGCGGCGATATTGTACAGCTGGGGAGAGGGGCAGGCAGGGGTCAAAGCCCAGAGATGAGCACCCTAGTGTGCATCCCTCCCCGTAAACAGTGACCGGTCAGGGGCTGGTTCCTCCAAAGAGCCATGAGGGGCGCCTCTGGAGGGAGCTGAGCGGCTTCTCAGCACTGTCTGGCCTTACATCTCTGCTCCTAGGCTGCATGCTCCCTGGCTCAGGGGAGTGCTGAGGTTGAGGAGCCCCCAGTGCAAAACGAACCCTTGCAGCGTGCCAGCATGGGGACGGGAAGAAGGGCAAGGACTCAGACAGCTGGGTGCCCCAGTCTGAGGCCAGCTAGATACAGACCACTTGTCCCCACCTCAGCTGCCCTCCCCGCACGGCTGAGTGCTGCACGGGTCTGAACTGTGCGTCTACTAGGTTTCTTGTCTACACGTCCAGACCCCAGTCACATGCACACGCCTGTGGGCTTGAGAGGAGCCCATTGTGAGGCAGAAGTGCTCCGAGTCATGGGTCGACGTCGCCCCTCTAGGGCTCAACACTGCCCCTGACCACTTTCAAGTCCTAGGCAGGGTTCTCACCTAACCCATTCTCGGCTACAAACCTAATCCTATGTCCTGGGGAGATGTATTTCTAGTAGCAAAGTTGAACCAAATTCAGTAAAAGCAAAGGCTATGGCTCAAAGACAGCATGCTATTCTGGTATCAGTCCAGTCCCAAAGGGAAGAGACAGACTAGAAGTTTCCATATCAACTCTACTGACTTGGGACCACAGCGTTTGGGTTGGGGGGAACGTTCATCAAGGGGCCCACTCCCACCAGCCAACAGGTGGAGAGCCCTTCTGCAGAGTGCCACCATCCGCCTGGGCTCTGCCCACGCAGGAAGCTCTTCCCCATGGGGACTGTGCATGGAGCCTGGGAGCTGTTCGCTCCTTTTTCACGCTTTCTCTCTCTCGTGGGCTGCACCAGCTGCCCACACCTACCCTAGCCCAGAACCAGGCCCCCCACACCCTTCCTGAGTAGCCTGATGGCAGACCACAGGACAGGGCCCTCTGTGTCTGCAGCCTGGCTGTGGGGTCACGTGAAGATGTCTGGCTCATGCTGTAGGTGCTGGCGCCTTACCCCACCCATAGCGCAGAGGGCATCCTCTTGGCACAAGCCTCACCTGCCCTCTCTTCCTCCCAAAGGGCCCCTTCCAGCAGCAGGACCCTTCACACCTGCCTGTGCCCAGCCTGGCCGAAGAGCTCAGTCCTAGACAGCTGCCCTTGGACCAGGCCTGGGGCCTCTGGGCACCTGCTCGGGCCAGGGGCAGCAGCAACTCAGGACACTTACCTTTCTGCCGAGCTGGAAGGGCACGACCGGGTCATCCTCTGCATGCAGAATGAGCAGGGAGCAGGAGATGTGCTTCACACTGCGGTTGGGGGGGGGGGTGTGACTAGACAGAAACACACCAGTGGAGCCGAGGGTGGGGGGGTGTGGTTCTCCCACACCCCGATTTGGGTTTGGGGAGGTTTTCCTGGTGGTGTTTAACAGTCTTGAATTCTGCTGGGTTCTTTTTACTAGAGAACCAAAAGTTGATTTCTTAGCTATTTCTATCAACATCTCTTCTAGCTAGGTGATTGTTGTTAGCTGCCACTGAGTTGGCCTACAACTTGTGGCAACCCCATGTACAATGAAACAAAATGCTTTCTGGTCCTGCACCATCCCCGTGATCAGCTGAGAATCAGATCGTTGTGACCTGTAAGGTTTTTACTGGCTAATTTTTCCAAGTTGAGCACCAGGCCTTTCTTCCTAGTCCACCTTAGTCTGGAAGCTCTGCTGAAACCTATTCGTCATCATACCAACACAGAAGCCTCCACTGACAGTAGCTGCACATGAGATGCATTGGCTGGGGATCAAAGCCTGGTCTCCCGCATGGAAGGCAAGATTTCTACCTCTGAACCACCAATGCCCTCATTAGCTAGGTGACAGTGTGAATTTAAATCTAGAGCTCAATCCATTCACCAAAATCTGGCCCCTGTACATTTTCTGGAAATGGAAAATGATTATTTTCCTCAATAGACATATTCTTTAAAAGTTACAAAACAGTATTTGTAAACTGAGTAATTAAGGCGTGCCAAAAAAGCTATTGCAAATGAATGTTATTATGAGTCTGTTGGCCAAAAGTCAATACCTTCTACTTTATCTTTGGTGAAAATGACATCTTAGAGCACTCCAGCTCTAAACATTTACAAGTAAATTAAAATTTTCAATAGATCCAAATTGTTTCAGCTGCTGTGTAACAGAGTAAGAGGACACCAAGACTAGAAGGGGTCTGGGTATCTCCTGGACCACCCCTCCTGATGAGCTGGTGGCAGGAGCCCGGTGGTCTTGGCCTGGTGCAGTGCCTGGGTCCGAGGGCCTGCTCGCCCCCAGACATGCACCCAGCACCCTCAGCAGGCATTCGCTGTTTGTGGTACATAAGTTCATGTCCTCCTCTTGTCCTTGCTTCAGAAAAGGAGGAGAGTTTCTGCTGTGCTATATTTTGTTGTGACATTAACATGAGGTTTCTAGAGAAGGTATTCAGCCTTCAGCAACAGCCTGCTGCCAATCCAAGAGGGCTTCGCTTCCCAGTGGCAGCAAGACTGGGGCTGGTGGGGAAGTACAGCACTGCCTGCAACCCAAGCTCTCGCCTGAGCTCAGTGGAGAAAGTCGGGGCCAAGCGACAGCTTCAGGAGGGGCCCAGGTACTCACTTCTCATCATTGGCAAATTTAATTCCACTGCTTGTAATAGGATCGAGGAAAAACCAGTCAAATCCAGGGAAGTATCGATATATCTGAAGACAACATGGGGAGAGTTTTCAGAGTGTTTATCAAAATATCCACGCAGAAAGCAAAGGTCAAAGTGCAGGGTTCTCAAAGCACTGTCCGTAACTACCAGGCTCTAAGGGAACACAGAGGCAAGAACAGAAGACGAGGCAGAGGAGACACACAGCCCACGTCACCTCCCTCCTCCAAGCAGGCTGACTATGGAAGCCACAACTAGAGCCACATGCAGGGTGGCACCACACCTCCCCGCCCTCACAACCATGTGCCAAAGGCCACAGGATCACTTTCCTCCGGAGGCTTCCAGATGGGCTTTGCCACTGGGGACACAGGGTTCACCCCTCCAGGCCCCGGACACCCAGCCACTGCAGAGGCTGATGTGCACATGGCCCCACCTCAGGGCTGCAACCAGAGTCCAACCGAGAAACCAGACTTCCAACAGATACTAGTCCTGCCACATCTGAGAAAAGGGGCACCCACAGTCGTTTTTCCGCACAAGGTTTTGGAGAAAGGCAAGATCAATAGGGTAAAACAAAACAAAGGACTCTTCTGACCTGGGACAGCCACCAGGATGAGATCAGGACAGGTGAGCAGACCCAGAGCTCCCCCAGAACACGGGCCAGCTGAGGAAACCCTGGGCATCCAGGATGAGAGGGACCCTCACCAGGCCAGGCTTTTGAGAACAAGGCTGAGGCTCCAGGGTGAGGGCCTGGTTGCCTGGAATTCCAACGTCGGTTTACTCAGGCTTCACCATCCTCAAGAGCTGACTTGGAAAGCGAGGGTGCAGCCTACCCATTCCACTGCTGAGAGGCTGCCCCTGGACCCCAGGTCCCTGCCCAGCTGCATCCCACAGCCACGGCAGCAGACGGGCAAGGCTCTGTGACAACATGCCCCCTACACTGCCTCCAGCCTGTGCCCAGAACTAAACAGGGACTGAGTTTTAATAAAATCTGTATTTTATTAGAATATTTTAATCGTAATTTTTATAATTAATTTTTTATTTTATAGTTATTTATTTAGAGCTATTTTAACATTCTATAGTAATTATTTTAATAATTAAATTAATTTTTAATAAAATCTCTACTTGCCACTGAAAACGGATGGCTTTTTGCTTCTTCACGGATATTGGTGAATGGAGATTCCAGTATTAGGGCATCTGGTGGTGTCTCTGGACAAACAAACAGGGACGGTGGTGGGGGTGAGAAGCCCTGACAAGACCGGCTCTTCCTGACTGAGGTGTCCATGTCAACCTGGGCCCTGGAGGCTATGGGCTGCCACAGGCCGGCTGGGAGGGTGCCAGCACAGAGCCCTGCAGGTTCCCGCTCCCCAGGGAGCCCAGTGCCTCCCAGATACAGCAGTGAGCCCCAGTGTCCACCCAGGAGCCCACCTCTGCAGTGCCCTCCCTCCTGGGTGGGTTTGTGGCCACGGACTGTGGAGTCACCATGCTGAGCGCAGCCTTGCGGGCCTCGCGTGGTCTTTGTGAGCTCACCAACCCATGCAGCTGAGGACGCTTCTTTATAAAGCCAAGGCCTCTGGTCTCACCCAGCGCTCTCACAGGCGGGTGTGGGGAAAGCAGGCTCGGGGCCCAAGGTTCCTGCCCCCAGTGCTGGGCTCACCCTCGCCCTGACACAAGAGCCATCCTGAACCCAGCACTGCCCCAGCTGCTCGCCAATGTGTGGGGGTGATAGCGCCACCTGCCCCATGAGAACTTGGAACAGGACCTGGAATGCAGCAAGCACCCCCAAAACACCAACTCCTAAGACAAGGGGGAGCAAAGACAGCCCAGAAACACCCACCAGTGGGAGCTGCGGGGCCCATCCTAAGGAGGCCAGGCCTCAGGCCACACACCAGGAACCACAGGCCTGCCGCTCAGATAAGCTCGCTTACCTCGCTCACAAAGGCGCCGCACCAAATTTGTTGCAACTCTGAAAAGAAAGAAAAATTATGCAGTTGAATTATGACAAAAACATTTTAACTCAAACAGATGAAACAGTTTAATATTGGAAAGTGACCAGAGAAACTGGAGGAATCTGTTGAATTACTGCTGGGGCTTGGGGGCAATGGGGCGAAATAAAAGTTTCCTGATGTAAAAAAAACAATATAAAACAAAACAAGCAAAAATGGATTTTCTAAGCAAAATTAAAGAGGTTTGAACCCAGTGAGACCGTGATTAAGATACCTGCTCAACAAGGTGTTCTGGGAGCTGTGTGGTTATGAGAAGGCTTCCAGGAAGATGGATGCCCAGCTGGGCCACAGTCAGGATGCAGGTCCCTGGAGGAGCACTGGGTGGCCCCCTCTGGCAACCTCACCTGGGACGAACTCCTTTGGACCATAGTTCCCTCGCCTCAGCTGACATACCAAGGTCAGTATGGACACTGTTGAGCTGGGCAGGAAACAGGCACTCAGGGCAGCCCGGCCAGCTTAGAAGTAGGCAGCCTTCTGCCCATACGCCAGGAGATGGCAGCATTTACAAGTTGGCCCAGCCCAGGCTCCTTGCAGCCCAGGACCACACCTGGGCCTGCTCCCTTCACTGGGGGCACACAGAGGCCCTGCACTGCTCACTCCCCCAGTCAGGGTGAAGAGGCCCTGTCCTGAGACACTGCCAGCTGCAGGTCCAGGATGAACTGTAGGATGCTGTCCAGGGGGAGGCCAGAGTTGGGAGGGCCACCTCCTCGGACATGGGGGTGGGGAAGTGGGAGTGGGGGGCAAATAGCTGCTGAGGAGGTTCTTGGGGTCTGGGCATTGACAGCAATGGGTCCTTTCAGAAACACTTGGACTACCCAAAAATAGAACATGAAAATGCTTCCTGTCCGAGTAGAGGTAGGAAGTGAAGCACCCGCTGCTCCCTCCCACAAGTTCTCTGGTAAACCAGTGCCAGCCAAGTGGTCGATTTGTTCACACATATCCCTGGTTTGCATACTGGAAGCACAATGGCACTTGGATTTGGTGACAAGCACACACACTTCAGAGTCAGGTTTTGCCCAAATTAGTCAACAGATCTGACAGCCCAAGTGCATCTTGAGAATGCCATTACAGCTCCATCCACACCCTGAGGGCTTAGCCTGGCCCTACACCCACTTCCCCAGTTGAGGCGTTAATATAGCTCAAACTCTTTATGGTCTGTTGGGGTGCTTCAAATACCCCCTCCCTATGGAGATGAGGGGGACAAGGATTTGGGGGACAAACAGTACCTCAGGGTTCCCTTGGGTACTTCTCTTCAGATTATAGGCTGGAAAAGCTGCCCCTAAAAGGCCTGCTCCTGCTAAGGCCACAACCTCCAGGAACCGCTCACCGGGTGCCCA